ACTCGTCATGTACATAACTTTTTGATAAGTTCAAACTACCCTCAGGAAGGACTCCTCAAAAACAGTTCTAACCGCTGGAGTAAATGCTTTTATCTTTTTTATCACATTAAAAGTAGCTGATTTGTGGAAATAAAATCCGATTTGAAAAAAATTTAAAAACCATGATTTCTTCTACTACCAAAATGTAATCATTTATGCACCATTTATCCTTCATGACATGCTCTACTACGCAAAGGCCAATACAGATGACTAAAGAGCAAACGTCTCCTGATGTTGAAACGTCAAAGAATTTAGCTTTTGAAGTTCTTTTAGTATGACTTATTGATATACCTCGTCAAGAAACGGAACTTCTAGAGAAGTTTTTCTGTCCATACGTTACAACTCAAAAGGCTTCAAGCGTCCTTTGAGAAGTTAGCCCCTCAACAGCCTGAAATTTTCATCCCGAAAGATGGAAAAAACCTTGAAGCTGCATTAAGAAAGCCAAGAAAAACCAGCTAATCAAAGAGGAACTTGAATGTCAAATGATATAAATCATTTCATGCTCAAAAAAACTAAGACGTGCACCAGAATTTTATAATCTAAATTGCGTATCAAGCATAGATCAAAAATTCACGTTTTTTAAGCCTAGAGATGCCAAATTTGTGTTAAATACTCTCTCGCCATCTCTACAAAAAAAAAAAAAACTAGAGCTTTTTCTAGATGACGCCAATCGTTACAGCTGTCAAATACAAGTTTCAAAAAAATGCGTTGAAAATTGGAGGACGGTAAAAAGGACGGTAAACTGCCCTTTTGGTCGGCGCTCGCTGTCTGTCACTTTGGATTATAAAAAAGCCCTATCGCTCAGTGAAAAATTAGATTGATATCAGCAACACCTATATTTTATTCATTGAAAATCACAACTATTAAAACAACAATTATAATACAATTAGTGCAAGTGAGAACCAGTACTAGCAAAGAAATAATAATAATAATATGCCGAATAAATGTAACTCCAATCAATTCGAATGAAATATGCCAAATAAAAAAACTAATTTTGAAAGAATCCTTGTGACAGAGAACATTCCAGTTAAATGCCAAACCTGCCTGGTATCTAATAAAGCTATCAATTTATTCCAAGCGTTACAGAACATTTAAAAAGAAGAAATCTAAAGTAAAAAAACGTATTTTATCTAATTTTTTTGTATACTACTTCTGTACCAAAAAAAAGGATCAAAATTAACCTTTTGTTCCAGAGTTTCTCGATTAAAAAATTCTGTTCTTGAATCTTACTATGGTATACCCAAAACTAACTGTAATAAACCAAACCGAGCAAATGCCATTGAGAAACAGACCTCCCTTCTCCAGTAAATCCATTTGAATGCTTCCAGTTTTACATTATAATACAAGTATCAAAAATTTGATAAGACAACCGCCGTTTATTTAAACACCGTAAAACTTGATTACCTAGTTTACTATAGAACAAAAAAGTAGGCAACTACCTCAGCACAAAGTAGCAATTTCCGCTCAAACGTTTGAAGCAATAAAAATTGCTGAAAAAAGCCCCAATTTTTTGAGTAAGTTTTGCTATGAAAAGAAGTTTTTTAATGCATAATCTTAAAGCAAAAAAATTGAGCACTTTCCGTTTCCTATCCTCTTCGTCCTTATAATAGACAATCAGCAACTGTGTAACTGTACACACCAATACAAAATAACTAAGTTTGAAAAATTTACATCAAAAAGCAACATAATCACGTTAACAGTAGAAGTGTATGCAAACAAGATGACCTAAACGACTTTTAAACTTCTGAAACTTCTTTCACTGTCATTCAAACTAGCTTTTAAATTTGGTTCTTGTAAATGTCCAAATCCAGGCTGTTAAAACATCAACAATAATTGCGTAACTTCATCATCTCACCCGTGTACATCAATTGAACAGCATTTTGTCTTCACCAATAGCCAACTTCAAAAACTTTGAATTATTTTATTATCATGGATCAATTCAGTCTCTTACCGCGCTATATGAACCCAATTATAAAGTTACATAAGAATTAAAAAACAGAAAAGCCCACACTTCTGTCCCCAGGTGATTACATAACAATTGAAACAAAACAGATTCCAAAGTATCCAAGACATGGATATCATAGCAAAGATAAAAAAACAATTATTCTTCTCATACATCAAACGGTCTCTATAACAAATTGGCAGAGTCATCCAGAAATGTCAAGTATCTCTCGGGAAATTCTACCAAGACGTAAAAAACAAAAATGCCTCATTTTTACAACCATAACAACAGCGGAAAAAAAGTCATCAAAAGTTTCTTGATTGCTCAAACTATAAAACTTCGTTGAACTTTAAAAAATAAAAAATTAGGAATGAATTAAAAGTGCTCTGACTGCTCAATAACCTTTAAATTCTTAATCGAAATTTTTGTAAAAATAGCGTCTTCTACAACCTTTGGGGTTCAAAACACTACCTTCTTTAACTACTATGAAGACTTTTACATTCTACTCACGAGTCTACCAAACTGAAAAACTTCTTACCCAGAAATCTGTATTTCCTTAGTGTAAAAAAATAAAAATTTTAGATAGAGCACCTACTTCCAAAACTTCAAATTAAAGTCATCTAATGCAAAGTGAACTTTGAATAAAACCGTTAGTTGCAACCATCAAAAATTCTATCAGTCGAAAACTGTTCACTTTTCTATCCTTTCCTATAAAATCCCTGATGCATGTACTTATCTACTTCAAGCAAATGCTAGCTGCAGATGTCTACAGCACCAACTAAGCTGATCAAAAACTCATGAGCTCGGGACTAATAAAATGCTTATCGACAATAACAAACACCTAACTAATAATCTTAATAAGGTTTGAGTACCCGATCTTAAAATTTTTTTAGCATCGCTTACTTTGAATAACACTTTAATGCTCAAACAGACTTCCAACACCAAAGTCTACAACTTCTTCAAATTATTTAATTGGTAA